CAGCCGCACTTGAAGAACAAATCCTTCGCAGCTTCACACTGCTGGATGTATGCAGCTTCGCCTTCCTTGAAGCCCTTCACCTCGGCATCTTCAGCTTTCTTCTTCAAAAGATTTATTTCGGCGTCTTTAACACCTTCAAGTTTTGCAAGCTCTCGCAAATACTTGTCTTTCATCTCAGTTAGGGCTCTCTGTCTGTCAGCATCGGCCGAAGCAACTAGGCCAGTCAGACGAGTCACCTCGACCTCCAGCTCGGTCGTCCTCACTTGTTCTTGTTTGAGCTCGGCGGTTTTGGCTTCGGCCTCTGCCATGGCCTCCCTTGACGTTCTCTTGAGCTCCAACACCCGCTTGTGTGCAATATGGTTCTTCTGAATGGCCTGCAATAGAATAAAAACTTTCCTTTTTAGCCGAGCTGAAAGTAGGAAGAATTAGAAAGGTACAAAAACAAAAGAGAGTGTTACCTACCAGGATCATGGATTTTGTTGAAGACCGGATGGCCTTCAGCTCGGTGTTCAGCTGATTGTGGTGCTCCATGTCCTTTGGAAGGCACACACTTTTGGCAAGGTTGAAGGCCAGTATGTGATCCTTCTCAGCAACCACCGAATCAGTTTCCTCAATATCTCAGTTCTGAGAAGTGAGCTTCGGTGCCCACTTGGAGGTAGCTCTGTCAGACGGCTCTGGTTGCGGACTTGGTGGGTGGCTCGGTGGTAGGGTGGTTTCATTTTCATCAACTAACCGTTGTTCGGTTTACGTAGTCCGGGCGCGTTTAGTTCGGCGTGAAGAAGAAGGCTGTTGAGAAGGAAGGGCCACCACGGTCTCTGGAGTTTGGTTTGGTAGTGGTACCTCGGCCCTGTTTGTCTCGGTCAAGAGGGCCCTGACTCTGTTTCTCTTGGCCATTTCTTCTTCAGCGGTCAGTGGGATTAGCCTAATTTGTGGCAAGGTTGGGTCCGGTTCGGGGGCTTCCTCTAGCAGAAAGTCGGTTACTCTCGCTTTTCGGCGGCCGCTGTATCTGTATGTCAGCTCAAAATTTAACAGCTTGGCCCAACTCCGTTCTGAATACCGTAGTGCGGCGCGGAGAGTGCCTAGATTGGGGTAGCTGTAAAGTGATTGAAGATGGGCTGAATCTGCATAAAGAAGACAAACTATTAGTTCGATTCAGGAGCAGGTAACCGAAATAAAGTAAAGCATACCAAAAACCGAAGTAATTATACCAGGTTCTCCTTTATTCCAGTTTATACTTCGGCCAAGGATCTGGGCTTGCTGGTCTTCAAAATTGCCAGACACCCAGAAAAAGTCATCATCATTTAAGTCCTTGTCCGGCGTATCTTTTATTATTTTTTCTCTGCGACGGCGTATCCTAAGGTAGTAGACCCAGCCGTCATCTTTGGAGCCAATGGAGTATTGGTGGAATATTTTGGCTAGACCGAGGTTAAGACTGGCTCGGCGGTTTAGTTCGGCTATACCCATTATTATACGGTAAGAATTGGTGGAGAGCTGAGTTGGGCAAATTCTGGTTTGTCTTAGAAATTCACAAATCAAGGGTTGAACGGGGAATCTTAGTCTGGTTTCTATTATTGATAGGAGGGTGAAAGGTACATAGCCCTGTTTTCCCCATGGAAGGGTATCTTGTTCGGCCAGAGTAAGTTGGACGTCGTCAGGGATGTTGTAATCCCTTCGGAATTCGGCCAGGCCACCGGGAGTTTCTACCAAAAACCTATACTTCCCCATTTATTTTATAAGTTATAAATAAATTAGTTTGGTCGCAAAATTTTGCTCAGTAGCTCGGCTGGGCGCGCAGTGGAGTGCCTGGGCAACCTAAGTCTGCAAAGTGGAAAACAAAGGGGTTAAGCACAGATCATTGGACCGTGCTACAAAATAAAAGCAAGAATAGGAGTCGTACTTCGGGTGTGTGGGATGCTATAGGTTCTATCTCGGTTTCAACAAGATGCTTAGTAGCTTGGATTAAGTAGGTGGTTCGATAGCTCGGTCTTGGCAAAGCGATTCATTATCTCGGTTAAAGAGAAGGCTTAGTCAGATCGGTTAAGCCTCTAGGGGCAGCTTTCTAAGTTCGGTCTAAAAACTTAGAAAGCTGGCTTAGCCCCAAAGACCTAGCTCGGTCGAACGATAAGGTTTCATTATGCTACGTTCGAACTTAGTTCGGTTCGTTTACCTCAGCTAAAAGTGGCTTGACTTATTCAAACTACTGGTACCAACATGGAGTGCTAGTTCGGTTAAAGTCTCTGATAGAAGGACATTAACTTTAAACTACTTTTTAGTTCGGTTATATGGTAATTGTGGATCAAACACTGTTTTACAGATTACTTCATGAAGTTCCTGAGGTTCTTATGACGTTTTTCCTAGAAAACGCAAGGTGGAGCAAGAATATGTGTTTTGCAAAAGCAGAAACAGTGTGCCAAGAATGAGAGAAAGCAAATGCAAAGACCACAAAACAAAGTACGAAAACAAGGAAAGCAAGATAGAGGTGCAGTACTTACCTGATGAAGATCAAAGAGCTAGAGGATGGAAGCAAAAGGCAACAGCAAAACACGAGCTCTTTCAGAAGACGAAGAACAGTGAGAACTCAGAGAGAAGGAAGAGGATGACTAGTAGAAGTGGGGGGTTTTTGCCTTAGGATTTGTTTTTGTTAGAAAGCCCAAAATTTGGGCGGGACTGTTCAAAAAACACGGAGTACGAAGGCGGCGTGATAGCTGCATTGAGCCAATCAGCGTCTGCTACGTGTCATTGGAATAAGAAGCGATTCAGTTGCTGTGATTGAAGAGACATTTTGATCGGACAGCTAGAGCCCGGCATGAATTTAGCTCGGTTGGATAGGCTAAGGGGTTTTAGCTCTGTTGGAAAAGCTAAAGGGTTTTAGCTCGGCTGGAAAGGCTTAAAAACCTTAGTTCGGCTGATAAAATAGGTAATCCATATCATGCTACGCAGATGGAATTAAGGGGCAATTGAGAGGGTAATTTATATGAAAATTGGGCCGAGCTGGGTAATGGGCCGTCATGGGCCACAATACGAAGGGCTGAGTAAAAAGGCTTTGAAGTTAGTCCGGTCCTAGAGCCCCGAAGCTAGTCCGGTCCGGAGGAGACTTGAAGTTAGTCCAGTTTAAAGACGCTTTGAAGTTAGTCCGGTCTCAGAGTTAGCCCGGTCATGGTGTATTGTGGTTAGAACGGTCAGAACCTTACTATTCGGTAGCTCGGTCTAATCACACCATGGTTTGTACATGAGAGAACCGAGATAAGGTGTAGTGAAAGGAAGAATCGAACTAAGGATAGTTCGGCCTACTCTACGGCTCAGCACAACCATGATTACCTCGGTCATGTTGGAGTTTGGCCATGGTAAAAACCATCTCACTTGGTTTAAGCAGTGAGGGGGGTGTTGAAGGATAAACATTATCTTTCAGGAGTATGAATCCTAGGAGGACTCTGCATGGAGGAGTGGAAGTCCTACTAGGACTGTGCCACGCAAAACCTATAAAAGCTCACAAATATCACCTTTGGAGTGGTAACACAACTTTGCTTTCTGAATACACAGGGCTTTTGTCTATTTGTCAAGCTTACTGACTTAGGCATCGAAGAGGTTTCCGGCACACACCCGCCGGCTAGCTCACGTTTGTATTTTCAGGTGATAAAGCGACGTCGTATGGAGGAGCGCAGACTTGATCAACAAGATTATACGAGAAGGTTTATTTCTTTCCCGTACAGTCATTATTTATTTCATGTAGAATTTATAACAATAAATCTGGATATAGACATCAAACATAGAACACGTCTCACATGAGATGAGTTCCGCATGTAGGTGGACCTTATCTCATGTGAGACATATGTGTCTCATTCTTTGTTTAGTGTATGTTCCTAGCATTCTCAATATTTAATCCTTTTAAAATTCATAACATGTGTCTTGAAAGCTAGGCTAGGCAAAGTAATTAAAAAATCGCAAACAGGTCAAATCTAGACCAAACCTCACTATTTGGTTTGATTTTTTTCAAAACATGGTTTGGTCCTGGTTTTAAAATAATGGAACTGTACTTCACGATTTAGTCTCATGGTTTCGGTTTAAAACCGAACTGGACCATTTATATATATATACTTTATTATTTATGGTAAACACTCAAGTATCGTGTATGTATAAATATATATTCATTTTTTAAAAATTTTGTTTACTTATAAGTGTGTTATTGTATAATAATAGGAATAATACTAGGAATCACGAAAAAAATATTATGAAATCCTTCATGAAAATTTCTCCTCTTTTGATTAGTATGTGGTGTTTTTTTGTATATGTAATCTAATGGTGAAAAATCTTTCATGATTATTTTCATGATACCTAGCATTAGTTTAAACAATCATCTAAACAATTTTATTTGTAAAATGATGATATATTAGTTGATATTTCAGCAAGTCATGATTATGTTACAAATGATGGCAAACTTTATGAAAATAGTTCCGAACCGAACCGAATCAAATTGTGTTTTCATAGTTTAGATTGATTTCAAATTTTATAAATTATAAATACTGATTTGATTTTGATTTATTTCAAAATTAAATCAAACAAACCATCTTCACCCCTATTGAAAGCAATCGTTAACAAAATCTGACATTTATTTTCTCCAAATTCATCAGCATTCCTTCGCTCGATTGATTAATTTCAGGACTGATTGCACGGGCAAAAAACATACCAAAAAGAAGTTCAGGTGCGTCATACAAAACCATATTAATACTGTTTGTTTTTTATTTTTATTTTCATTTTTGTTTTTGTTAGAGCATTCAATATTGAAAATTAAATTTTATTGTCTTGTTTATTGTGTTTTTAACAAACTTAATTCTGAATTTGCATTTTTAATTCATATTTCATAGCAATGAAAACCAAGTTGAAAGAGAAAACCAATTTGCCTTGTTGATTAATTGTACATGTGATTAAATTGAAGGCATGCAAATTTCTACAATTATTTTTGACATATGGTCTTGGAAATTTGTGTGCGACAGACATAGAACATGGCAGAGCCAAGTGCCGATCATATGCTTGATATGGATAAAAGGCTTGCTGAGTTGTCTCCTATACCATCTGAACGTTGCATCTTTAGAGTATATGATCCACTGCGCAACGAAAATAAAAAAGCTTACGAATCAGAAGTAGTTGCTATTGGTCCTTATCACCATGGTAATAATCTACAACCAATGGAAGAGCGCAAATTACGCTACTTGAAACAGCTTCTTAACCGAAGAAATGAAGGTAGTGCGGAAATATACATCGAGGCGATGCGAGAATCTGAACAAACAGCACGTGAGTTTTATGCCGAACCCATTAGGCTTGACTTAAATGAGTTTGTAGAAACGATGCTTCTTGACAGTTGCTTCACCGTTGAGTTGCTTCGCGGGCCTGAGATGCCAAACGACCCCCTCGTTGAAAATGCCTTAATACGTGATTTAATGTTATTTGAAAATCAACTTCCATTCTTTATCGTCAAGAAGTTGTTCGACATGACCAAAAGTTCTGCAGACTCACTAGAAGACCTCATTCGCATGTTCATAAGGTTTTTTAGCTGGTGGATAATAGGTTGCATGACACCAGTTCATAATTTAGTAGCTCCTTCTGTAATTCCAAGAGAAGATGACATCAAAGGAGCTCCTTTTGAAAATCCGAGAGAAGATGACATCAATCACCTTCTAGGCCTGTTGCATTATTGTTGTTGCTACCAATTTCATTCAATGGTATCCAAAAGAGATCCTGTTGAAAAAAAAGATAAGTCCCTAAACTCTGCAACAGAGCTCCAAGAAGCCGGGATTAAATTCAATAAGACTGAGGGAAGGAATTTGTTCGACATAAGGTTTGTAAATGGGACAATGGAAATCCCAACTTTAGAAGTTGACGACTATACAGAGTCTTTTTTCAGAAATTTAATTGCATATGAGCAATACCTTCCATATACTAATACTACTTCAAGGAATCATTTCACTGCTTATCGCAAGTTTATGGATTACCTTGTGAACACCTCAAAAGATGTCGAAATACTTACTCACCGTGGAATTATTTTTAACCTTTTAGGTGACAATGAAGTGGTTGCGGCTATGATAAACAAGCTCAGCAACAATATCATAGTATCTGATGTAGGTTACGAAGAAGTTTATAACAAAGTGAATGAGCATTGCAGGGGGAAATGGAACTTCTGGTTGGCAATCTTAAGACGGAAATATTTCAACAATCCATGGGCACTCATCTCGTTTCTTGCTGCTGTTGTGTTGCTTTTGCTCACTGTGTTACAAACCATATTACCTATTCATCCTGTTGGAAAATCTAACTAGATATCTCTGCTTCAAGTCTTGTTTTGCTTCTTGTTATGCCACTAAATAAAAGAAGCTAGACTATGTGAGTGTAGGTTGGTTGGTTTTGTTACTCACTCCTCTTGTTTTGGCTCCGTGATTCTTTGTTGAAGAATGGGAGCCTTGTGTGATGGTTTCTTTTCACTTATCAATAATATCTCTTTCTACTGTTCAACATAAAAAAGAACAAATATGTATATATATATTGATCAATTTAGTGGAATGGTTTGGAAATTTCAATCATTTTACCATGAGTTGACACGTTTCTGCCTATTCTTCTTTCGGAACTCAGTGCCACAAAAAAAAGTAAACATTTCCGTTGTGTTTGGTTAGAGGATTTGAGGAGGAATTTGGAAAGAGAAAGGAAAAAGTTAGGTGAAATGTGAATAAAATATACCTACATTTCACCTAATTTTATACACCTTTTCCCTTTCCCTTTCCAAATCCCTCCTCAAATCTCCCAACCAAACACAACATTAAGATATGTTTAGCAGGATTAATAGTGAGAAATTCATAAGATTAGTAAGATATAAAATTCTTTATTGTTCACGTTTTTTTTTTTGGTAATAAATATGAAAAAAAATATAATTCAAATTATATGTATGTTTTATATTATTAATTATAGTATTAAAAAATTTATAAATTTTGTTAGATAAAATGACCGTTGAAATATAATCTGAATAATAAAATTTACAATCAAATAATGAACTGTGAATCCTATAAATTAATAATATCAATCATATATTATAATCTGTCAAATCAAACAAGCCCTCAAGCTACAAATTAGGTACAAATAAGAATACACAAAATTTTTAAAAAATTCAAATTTACCATGTTTGGTTCTAGAAAATTTAGTCAACTTTTCAAAAAATTGAATTTTTTATTTTTAATATTTTTATTTTATTTTTATTGAATTTTTTAATATTTTACTCAAAAAGCTTAAAAATTATAATATTTGTGAACTTTTTTTAAAAGTAAACCAAATACAAAAAAATAGAAGAAAAAAAAAACGAAAATTCAATACATTTTCATATTTTATTATATTAAATAAATTTAAAAATGAAAAAAATTAATTAAAATATTTAAAATATTATTAAAAATATAAAAATACGAATTAAAAACTTAAAACCAAACATGCTTATTGGTTTTGCTTACTTAAAAAAATTATTCTTGATTGGCCTTTAAAAATAGAGAAAGTAGAAATCGCTACTACATATCAGTTTCAACAATCTTGGGAGATCAAAGTAACAATTACCCCCGTGGTGTGGAAAGGCACTAGTCTTTCTACACAGGTGAGCAAGACTTTGATTTCTCAGAGTACAACTAATGACTCATTTATTTGGTGAAGTTGGTAGTGTTGTATTTCGCTTGGGACTTTACTTTTTATATTAGGAGTTGGTGTATTTCTTGTTTTTCCTGGTGGTAGGTCTTTTCTTTTAAATTGGATTAAATTTGACAATCAACCGATTATTTCGGAGCCAAGGTCTATGGATATTATGATATCTCTACGGATTTTTTTTTTTTTTTTTTTTTTTTTTTTTTTCCAATTTAAATTGGGATATTTTACTAATTAAAATAATAATAATAAAATAAAGTAGCAGTCCATTGTCATTGTATGGAAATAGGGGTGAGTATGGCCCTGTTTGGATCAATTTTGGATGAAATGAGGACCGATTCATTGTCTACATTCTATAGAAATTAGAACTAAGCCAATTCATTAAAATTTTGGAATCAATCCAATCCAAACCATTTAAACATGGTGCGATTCGGTTCGATTTGGAATCACGATTTCACATAATATGGTTACAAGAAAAATCATATAATATTTTAAAAAAATTCAACCTATCTGAAATTTTAAAAATAATAATAACACGTTCATCAAACAAACTACTACCATAATATTTATCAGTTAAGCAAAACATAATATTAAGTAAACATTGTTCAACATTAATCTGTCATGATTTTTCGAAACAAAAACTGGAACATTGTTTCACCATTAATATGAACAAACATAATACCAATCAAATAAATATATATGGTTTAAGTTATACGGTTCGGTTTTAATCCAGAATCGTAGACCTAAATCCAAAATCAATCCGCGGAGATTGATTTCCCAATTTTCCAAACCAGGACCAAAACACGAATTAAAAAACTAAATCAAACCTACCAAATTGATCTACACCGATTCGATTTGTAGATTTTTCGATTTGCTTATCCATACGTAGTCACTCAATTATAAATTTATTACAATCCATTGAGCATGTGCAAATTAAAACTAACAAACAATTCAAGATAAATTTGTCATTTAATATTTAAAATGATCAATCCATTGGGGCGGGGGTGTCCAATTTGAAATGATTAAAGAAGAAAATTTATCGTAGTTAAAGAAGAAAATGACATAATTGTAACACGTCCGCGAGGGACCCTGCTACAGTTCGGACTCAATTTGTGTCGCGGTTCTAAATCTGATCCAAAGAGTCCAAATCCGGCAAATCGTTTTGAGAAAACAGATTTTTAGAAAAGAAGTGCCAAACATGGACTGCTTTGCCAGATACAGAGTCGCCACCTAAATTTTTTTTATGGGGGAATTTAGGAAACCCTACGAAAAATGTCTTGAATTCTTGTATATATATATTTATATTTTTGGTATTTAGTGAATTTTCTAAAGATTTTTTTAATAATATTATACTTTTTAATTATATTTACGTTATGTGTATCTAAAAATTAAAAAAAAAATGCCTAGGATATTAAAAAAATTCAGTGAAAATTAAAAAAAATACAAAAAATAAAAAATTTTAATTTTCTGAAATTAAATCCTGAAAACCCAAACTATACAAGCTGAAATGACCAAATTAACATAAAAAAAATAAATCACAGAGACTGAGAGATATAATCACTATGCTTGGTTATCATTTTTCAAAAATATTTTTCAGAAAATTCTACTTTTTTATTTTCCTTATTTTTTTTTGTTTTTACTGAATTTTTTTAATAATTTGAGCAATTTTTTTAATTTTTAAACATACCTAACATACATATACCTAAAAAGTAAAAAAAAAAATTGAAAAAAACCTTTTAAAAATTCACTAAATACCAAAAATACAAAAAAAAATACGAGAATTTAGTGTATTTTTTATATTTTTATGCATTTATTAATTTTTAAAAATATTTTTTCACAAATTTTTTACTTTTTAGATACATCTAAGTAAGGTGCATTTAAAAAAGTACAAAAAATTATTTAAAATTTTAAAAATATTTACTACAAACAAAAAAATACGAAAACCAAAAAACTCAATTTTCAAAAAATTTAATTCAAAAAACTCAAACCAAACACACTCAATAATTTGCCCCTACCATTTTTTGAAATGAACTACCCCTCATTTAGAGGCAAGCTTGCTGAATTCCCAATTCATTTGATTAATAATAGATGAAATCTGAAATAGATCTACCACCACTTTCTCAAACACTGCTTTGTCCCTGGATATCCAAATTCCCCAAAGGACTTTAATTGATTCAGCAATAGCCTCATCATCTGGAGCAATTTGGAACCAATTCTCAATCCATTTTCATACTGAAATCCGCTGACCCAAATCGAAGTTAAAACTTAACCGGGAGCCCCGCCAAATGTGTTTGGAGAAAGAACAGTTAAAACGAAGATATTCTATGGATTCTGATCACAGTCCTCTTGTTATGGATACAAGTCCAATATTCCAGAGAAAAAAAGGGGTTTAGAAGGTTTGAAGCGGGATGGTTGTTGGATGGGGTCACTAAACATATTGTCGAAAAAGTGTTGAAAATTCCAATTCAGGGCTCACGGGCTTTTGTTTTAACGCAGCATCAACAGATTGCAATCAGACACTTTCGAAATTGGCATTATTGCTCAAATAGAAGTCTGGCAGCACAAATTGCGTTTGGAGGATGGTGTGTTTGTTACCGATCAGAAGGAAATTCAACATGTTTTTGTGGATTATTTTAAGAAGCTATACTATAGCCATGGCCTTGATTCAGGTACTCCTAACTCCTTGTCCTATCCAAGTAATTTTCAATTATTGTCTGCTATAAACTGTAAAATTTCTGAAGAACATAAAGTTTTGCTGGATTCCCCTTCCGTGATGGAGGAGGTTAGAGAGGCTGTGTTTTCCATGGGAGGGCTTAAAGCTCCAGGTCCTGACGGAATAATAGTAGCCTTTTATCAAAAACACTGGGGGATAGTGGGGGAATCAGTTGTCTCGGCCTTTATTTATTTATTTATTTATTTAAAAAATTCTGGTCATATGCAGAGAAGGTATCTATTTTGCATTTAGCTTTATGGGTGAGATTTTTCAAATTTAAATTTAAATTTGAGAAAATTGTTTGGACACTTATATTGTGTTTGGTTGGGGGATTTGAGAAAAGATTTGGAAAGGGAAATGGAAAAGATAAGTGAAATGTGAATAAAACATACCTATATTTCATCTAATTTCACACACCTTTTTCCGTTCTCTTTCCAATTCCAAATCCTTCCCAAACTCCCAAACCAAACACAGCGTTAGGGTCCACCCCTCGTTTTGCTGATCTAAATTCCAATAGCCATAATCTTATCATTTTATCACGTTTGTGTTTAAAAAAAAAAAAAAAAATTAGATAGTTTATTTTCAAAAACACATTTATTGTCTATTTTCAGGGACAAACATGATAAAATGATAAGGTTACGATTACTAAATCGACCTAATTATTTTTTTGAATGATATACTAAGGGCCTTGTAAATTTAATGATTTTGGATTATCAAAACAAGATCCTTGATGGGTCTCACATGCCTAAACAATTATTCCAAGTTCAAATTTAAATTTGAAAGAAGGCAATCTTGTTGTTAACTTATTCTAATGTTAATTCTGACACATGGCAATTGATATGTCCTACAAATTTAATGTCACTACAATAAATTAAGATTTTTGTAATGCTCAAACTTTTATTACTCAGATATCGTTACTAATTTTTAATATTTAAGTCAATTTATACGATAATAAATTGCGGAAGCACGATAAAGAAAGAATAAACCATAAATGTCCCATCTCGTAAATACATTGATGAAATGTTCAAATATAATACTTATAACAAATGCCTTTAAGCTTATGTTACAGAATTTCAGAATAGACAACTACAATGAAAAGAAATACATTAGTCCTACCACACCTTGGCATTTTGCTTAAAATTAACAAACTTCAAATCCCACAAATAAATTAAACTTCTTGATTCTTGGACGAAGCATCCAACTTCGCACTTGAAAAGTGGTGTAATAACTGGGATGAACAAATATGTCCAATAGGGATCTCTGATGATTCTAAACAATAATAACTTATAGATATATATGATCATGAAAGTTCCAAATCAATACATATACATATACGTAATGTTCTCTTTGATATCCAAAATATTATTGTATATATTTCCAAAGAATCCATGTTTAGTAATTGAAGAAAATAAATTCTCATCTTTCCAAATTCACTTTCAATTATTTCCAAGTTTTCCCTTCACTTTGTTTATAATCAAAACCATGTCAATGCAGATAATCTCAATAGCTAACAATTAACAATCCACAGATAACACCCATGACTACTAGCTCAATTACACATGTTGATTATTAACTACAACATCGTTATGTACTTAACTATATTCTTATGGGACATATTCATCAACCAATAACTCAACAGAAATACATACACCAACTGTGAAATCTCAAATACAGAACATCCCGTGGTCTTCCCAAGCCCTACATCAGAGCCCCGCTTTATCAGTTGCTAGTCGGAAGGAACGCGGTACCTATATAAAGCACGGCCTGTTTTATCGGTTGCTAGTCGGAAGGAATGCACCCCTACTATTTAGCACCACCTGCTTTACCGGTGGCTAACTGAAAGGAACACATTACCTCTATATAACCCAGCATGCTTTACTGGTTGCTAGCTGAAGGGTCACGTTACCTTTATATAACACAATCACATTCCACAAAACATCACCTTCTCAAATTACTTCTATTCATTCTCATCTACGTACATGGTTACACAAACTCATAATGTTTTCAAGTCATTCTAAATTACACAATTAATCAACAACACATAACCTATTGTACAACAACCAATACCATCCTCTATCGATAACCAACGACAAAACCTCTAAGCATTAATTAATATAAGCTCTTATAAATAAAACAACGTAATTCTTATAATTTTCATACCTTCAATAACATCAATATATAGTCTAATTCGTTATCAACAAATCATTCCATAATCAATTCTCTTGTTTTCAATAATCAATAATTTTCAACCTATCCCAAATTCATGGCAGCCGATTACTTCTTTCTCTTTCTAATTCTCAACAAAATCAATATAGCTCAATGCTTATGAAATCATCATTTCTCATAAATCATAAATTAAAAAAAAAAATAGGACTTCTTACATTAAACATCGTAAATATTTTTCATTAGCTCACAATTCCCATAATCAATAGCAAAATCCAATATTAAATACTTTTAATTCGAAACCCTAACCTTCATCTTTATGCATTTCAAAATCTCATAACAAAATCATATTTTTATGTAATAAAAAGTACCACATATCTATGTATAACGAAATATTGAAAAGAAGCAAAGATATTTATACCTCTTGAAATGAAGAGAAGAAACCTGAAAAATCAATTTCGCCGGAACTTCGATCCAATCAATCAAAATGAAGCCCTCGTTGAACTTGTCATTTTGATCTAAAGAACTATTATCAAAATCTTCTTTGATGCTTGGATTGAAGGATTTGTGTATTTTTGACAATGGTTCTAAGATAGATAACAGAAATAGAGAGAGAGAGAGAGAGAGAGAGAGAGAGAGAGAGAAGGTTTGTCAAAAAGTGAGTAGAGGGAGTATGGGTCAATATATAGTGCAAGGAAAAAAATGGGTTTGGACCCACAAATTTGACTCAAATTGATAGCAAAAATACGCTAAATTCAAATAGACCGCTTAAGCGGTGAATGAAAACTCTCAACATCTCTACTTTCTTGAACAGACTGCTCGAGCAATCAAAAGTTTGCTCGAGAAATGAATTAATACTTGCAGTATCTCAGACAATTTTCAATCACTCGAGTGCTCAAACTTGCGCTTGAGTGAACTATGCCAACAACTTAGATTTGCAAACTTCAAACGAGTATAACTCTCTCGTTTGGACTTCGTTTTGGTCATTCTTGTGTCTAAATCGAAGCCCCGAAGTTAAGCTTTTCAATGATTTTAGCCTCACATTACGATTCAAAGTGTGAAGAGAGAAAATGGTAAAAGAGTGATGACTACTCAAAAGACAATAATGCGAATCAAGGCTTTTGGTCAAATCTCACCCCACTATCATAATGACACCACAATCCATGCTCTAACATCAACTAAAGAGGTTCTAATTATGATAGTAAGGCAGTCGAGGGTAATCCCACACTTCTCCGATCCATCCTTACGTTCGAAACTCAAACATTTTCACTCGCTTTAACTCTTTAACATCGACACACGACACAACACTTGAGATTCTGAATGTAAAATGATAGTTTGAAAGGCACACTCAAACCAGGTCAATGACCTGGGACATCACATACTTTCCACCTTAGGAAATTTCGTTCTCGAAATTATGACAATAAAATGATTAAAACAGTATGACAACAATTGACACTAAGGTTCAAAATGGGACAATCACAAAGAACTACAACCACCAATTCAAAATATAGATCAGTACTTGAGATAGTATCCTAGATTTCGGCCTCTCATCTCGGTGCCCTAAGGCCACCCGAGCAACAAAGATAGCAAGATAATGACATAATGAGTCACTTACGATTCATCTACTATAACAAAAAGAGGTTTTGGTCAAACAAAAAGAGGTTGTTGGATAGGGTCACTAAAGATATTGTTGAAATACCAAATATTTTCACTTCGTAGCAACCATACGGGCAAAGAAGAAAATGATAGATTGCTTGCGTTTGGAGGATGGTGTGTTCGTTACTGATCATAAAGAAATTCAACATGCTTTTTTGGATTATTTTTAAGAAGCTATACCATAGCCATGGCCTTGTTGATTCAGGTACTCCTAATTCCTTGTCCTATCCAAGTAATTTTCAATTGTTGTCTGCTATAAACTATAAAACTTTTGAAGAACATAAAGTTTTGTTGGATTCCCCTTTCGTGATGGAAGAGGTTAAAGAGGCTGTGTTTTCCATGGGAGGGCTTAAAGCTCTAGGTTTTGACGGAAAAATAGCAGCCCTTTATCAAATACACTAGGGGATAGCGGGGGGAATCAGTTGTCTCGGTTGCTTTTTTGTTTTTTTTGTTTTTTTAAATTCTATTCATATATAGAGAAGGTATCTATTTTCCATTTAGCTTTATGCGTGATATTTCTCGAATTTATATGCAGAAAAGGTATCTATTTTCCATTTAGCTCTATGGATGAGATTTCTCAAATTTAAATTTAAATTTGAGAAGATTGTTCGGGTACGTAGGGTCCATCCCTCAATTTGACGATCCAAATTCCGATAATCAAAATCTTATCATTTTATCACGTTTGTGTTAAAAAAAAAACAAGGATAATTTATTTTCAAAAGGGCACTCGGTCCATAAATCCAAATTCTAATTTTGTTTGGTGAACAGTCCAGTTGTTGAAATTGTTTGTCTAAAAGGACATGCTCAAGCAAAATGACCAATATACCCTTACTTATCTATACTATTATATATGTGAGCACATGACTTGGTGTCAAAGACTATGGTGGCCTCTCTTTTTTCTATCCTAAAATAAAAAAATGGCAAATTACAGAAATGGTCCTTATAGTTTACCCGTGGTTTCATTTTGGTCTGTGTACTTTTAATTGCATCAATTTTGGTCCTGCAGTTTGGTTTTTGGTTCTATGTGGTCCCATAGTTAACAGCTGTTGGCTTTTTGGACAGAAACCCCACACGTGCCTTGTACGCAAGGGACTTGCAAGGGCAAGGTTGTCATTTCGACACCCCTACCCATTTTCTCCAATTCTGCAACTGATACAAGGCATATATATATATATATATATATGTACATAATATATTACGTATGTGGATTAAGGGAAAGACGAAGAAGACGAGAGAAAGAAAATGGAATCAATCTATTGCTAATGTAGGTTGAGGGCTAGAGTATGCACATCTTGGACTGAGAATAATCCTTCAGAAGGTTTTTGGGTTGTCCTCGATATGAAGTAAGTTACAATATATATATATTTCCTCTGTTGAATCATGCTCTTTTGAATTTTTTGTGGTTTGATAAATGCAGATATGGAGTAAGTGAAAATAGATATATATATATATATATATATTTATCCTCTGTTGAATCATTCTCATTTGAATTTTTTGTTGTTTGATAAATGCAGACTAGGGATGCTTGTGGGTTCTTCATATGGATTGATCCTCCTTCTGGTGCCCGAGTTCAAGAGGTGATTAATGGATTACTTGGAAGAATTGGGGTCATTGAAGACCAGGTCCGATTGCATAGAGGAAGAGAAAGGAAACTGCTGATCTTTATAGTGATGTCATGGATATTTTTCTTATGGTGCTACCTTACAACAGAGCAAGATGAGGAAGTTGCTGGTAGCAACAATGACAATGATTTGACATAAACTAGGTTGCTTTTTTTTTTTTTTTATGTATATGGGAATTGGAATAAGAATTGTAGATGTAGGTGTTTCATGTTTTAATGTTTTGAATTTGGATTGTGTTAGTTTTGTGAACAATGATAGAATAACATATGCAATGACAACGATGTGTAATGTTGTGTGAATAGCTGAAATAAAATGGGTTTTGTATTTTTGTGAATTGCAATGCCATTTGAACATTATGTATTGAATTTTGTGAGCTTTGTCATCAACGTTAGATTGCAATTGGAATACATACAAATGTATAATGTATTGTGATTTGGTAATATTGATTAGTATTTCCAAAAAATAGAACAATACAGTGACAATAGGCCATAAGAATAAAATAAAGACACTTGGTCAATATTCATTCATTAAACAACAAAAGGCAATCACATTGTTCACCAACAAAAGACAAAATAAATACAATAGCCGATCAACTAAAGTGATTACAAACCAGTAAAATGGTGAGCACATCTAGTCAAAAAGTGTAACTACAAAAAAAAAAAAAAAAAAAATCAACATTATTAACCCTAGAAAAAAACAGTAGATCATAGCAGTTAATGTACAAGACAAGGACACTTTGTCCTACTAGCACACTAATTTGCATTCTTGTTGTTGGTTGCACTAGTTACAGCTTGTTTCTGTGGAGACAAGGACACAAATCTTCTCCCCCTAAACATGAATGAGTCTGTAGGTGCAGATGTTAATGACTGAGTTGTGGAAATTCAACTAAATCCAGGTGGTGGTGTTGACCTTGCCATGGTAGGCATACATGGTTCAATGTTAGGCCTTGTCTTTGCCTTGTTGTCCATGGTTGGTTGACTGCCACTGGCTCTGACAAGTGCTACTTTGCCCTTTTGCCCATGCTTGGTTGACTGCTAATACATTTTGCAGCTGTTACGCTTGCCCTGGTACCCATGCTTGGTTGGCTACCACTAAGTCTTGCAACTGCTATCTTTGCCCTGGTGCCTATGCTTGGTTGACTGCCACTACCTCTTGCAGCAGCAACCTTTGCCTTACTCCTCATTGTCATGTTTTCCTCAATAGCTATTGGAGGTATTTCAACTTAGCTTGAACTATATTATTCCTCACCTTCAAACATGGTGAAATATAATGTAATTAATCTGGAAATACCTTATACAAATTACCCTGTAAGAGTGAAATAAATTGACAATAACTTTACTTACAGGTAAGTTTGCCTTTATAGCATTGCCTTCAACTGGTTGACCTTTGCAACTTTTTTATTGTGTCCAAGCTAACCATATGTGGCACATGTGGTTGTAGTGTGTTTTCTCTTCAACTTGTAGGGGTTTTTGGGTTCATCTGCCTCTCTCTTCCTCAATTTCTTTGGCCTCCCTAGTTGTTTTTTCACTCCAGGGGACAATGGTGCATCTAACACTAACTTAGGCCACATTTCAGATCTATTGATGGGGTAGATTATTAGCTCATAAGAGGCCATATAAGTTTTTTTTCTTGAACCAGTGTGCCACATATTCTTCAGGGTTCTCATGTTTATCATAAATGACTGCTATTGCATGACAACATGAGATACCAGTTAATTCCCATCTCCTGCATGAACATGTGCTATCTTCTAAATCAACCACAAATTGTTGTCTATTGAAGTAGTTGATTTGGTACTTTTGTTTCCCTAACCAAATTGCAATGCAGTTGCATGCATCCAATTTCCTCTTCTCTAGTGTTTTTTGGATGTTAGGACATATAGGACCCTCATATGCCCTCATTTTTTCTCTCCTTATTTGCATCATCTTCATCAAAATGTATCTAATATCCTTATTTCCACATTCCTATCCACATGAGTATCAAATTGCATGTCATCTTCACTTTCATCAATTTCACTATCCTCATAGTCCTCTAAATCTATGGACTCTGTCTGAGAACCTTCATTATATCAAGTTTCAAACAAATCAACTTCTGCTACACCCTTACCTTGCTCTAACTCAGCTTCTCTACCACCTTCCTTTTAGAACTGAGCTTCTACTACATCCATATACCTATGAAACTCATCTTCACCTCCAATCAACTCATCAATGTCATCAATCCGTATTGAACTAGGTTATGTTTCAGGATAGTGTTCCAAATAGAAATCAATGTGCCTATTTCTATTCAAGAATTTCAGTATACCCATCAACTCATTGTCATTCTTTACATTGACTAACCCACTAGGAAGATCTTTATCAGGCATTCTGTAGTAATATGACATGCTTACAGTACAATTCAATTTCTTCACCAAATCTTCTATGTATAACATACTCATGTAATCAGCTTTGTAGTAGTCAAAGTATGTTTCTTCCCCTCCCCCCTCTCCCCACATATAACCTATCTAGATTACATACAAATGTTCCCCCATGATGCATTTTTAAAGTGAAGTAATCACTATCAGAATTTGTGAGATTAAATAATATAAAAACTTAATCAAAATTTGTCAGAGGTTGATCACTTTTCCCTATGTGCATATCTATTCTTTTGGGAATCAATGCCAATAAGAAATGGAGAGAGGAGGGTGGCAACCGATGATTGGGAGAAGGCCAGTGGGATATCAGCAAAATAGATGCAGAGGATCAGGAATGTTCACCGTTTTTGTCGATAACTTACTAGAATCGATGGATCCGAGAGGCTTGTTTAAGTTATGTAGTAACTACGGAGTGGTGAATGATGTTTTTATTCTGAAGAAGAAAATAAAAGTTGTGGAAACAACATTTGGGTTTGTTCGGTATGATTGCCAGGTTGTAGCAAGTATGGTAGTTCAAAAAGTTGAAGGTTTGTGGTGTGATGATAAAGAATTGAATGTACAGATAGCAGTGTATGGAAATAAAGATTAGAATCTGGAGATGTAGGAGTCAAGAAATGAGAGTACTAATCTGATTAAATAAAGGATGCACTGGCAGCCAACAAAGGGAGTTAAAGGTCAGAGTTCTTATGTGGATGTAGTACAAGGGTTTAATAGAGATATCAAGAGGATACTTATCAAAGCTGAAGAGATTGGCAATGGTTGGCTTTACGAGAGTTTAGTAGTCAAGCTAAAAGCATTTTTCACCTTTGATGCTTTTAAAAATGAGTGTAGTAACAGAGGGGTTAAGGATGTGAACGTCAGAGATGGGGGGGATAAAGTTACAGTTTTAACATTCCAGTCAATCAAACATATGAAGGAATGGAAAGTAAAATTGGAGGAATGGATCTATGAATGGTGCATATCAATGGAGGGATGGGAAAAAGGGAAAATGATTGAAAGTGAAAGGTGTGTTTGGTTATATTTCTTTGGAATTCCTTTTAATTTGTGGAACACAAAAACCCTCAATGACATTAGTAGAGTTTAGGGTGAAGTAGCTCAACATGATGAAGGTACCAACAACCCAGTTTCATTTTAATGGAGTAAAGTAGAGTTTATTAACGCAGTGGTAATCCTTGAGTGCAATGGGGCACAATATCCAGTTAGAGTGTGCGAAGAGATAAGCTTCCCATTAGGGACAACCACAGGACTGGGTAGTTATCAGCTTAATGAGGATAAGAATTCAAGCTTTGGTAGTGGGCAAAATATGATATTAGGCACCATTGAAGGTAGGAAGGAAGCAGCAAAGGAAGATGAATGTGGTGATGATATGTCACTTACTGATGAAATGGCAAGCAGGGTTAAGGACATAGTGGATGATGGAACAGTTGAGCTGGATAGAAGGGGAATGAGGGTGGAAGTCTCATCATTGTGGAAATCCGATGGAGGCTTGGAAAACTCAACAAGTGGGAGCTCTGGCAGTGTTGGTATGATAAAGATTGTGGAAAATCCAAGGAAAAAAGTGGTTAGGAGTATGCAAAAGATTGATGACAATATATACACACCAGGGTTTATGAAGAGTTTGAGTGGGCCTGAGATGGGTAAGCCCAATATTAATTTAGAAGTAGTGCTGCAGGAAGCCCATGATGAAGCTAACCACAACAGGCCCACTAGGCATTCATTATCAAATCTGAGTGACTGTGTAGCTCAGACTCAGGTCCAACAGGTAGGTCTGCAAACAGCCCAAAATAATGAAAAAAAATTAGTTGTATAAAGATTAAAAGAAAGGTTGCTAGTAGAACAAAAGGAAATAAGGGGAAAGATAGAGGAGCTATGATGAAAGGTAAGACTTTATTATTATAGAAGGGAAGAGTGCTTCCAAAAAGTTTTAATAGAGGTGTTATTTTCAGAGCTGCAGCGGTGACTATATCAAACTCACTATCCATTAATAGTGAGTCAAGTAGAAGTAGTATAAGGTTGATTATGGAAGCTAGGGCAATAGTCCAGATGGGGAAATCATTGGGCATAAATTTTGAAGGAAAATAAGCTGAAGCTATCGAGAAAATTATTCAAATTGAAATGAAGGATTTGGAAAGGATTGAAGGCAGTGGAAGGGCTGTTGATGCCTAAGGAATATATGCAGGGGTTCAGGTGCATTATATTGTTTCCTATGAAGATAATGACATGGAACGTTAGAGGTCTAAGAAGACTAGAAAAAAAGAGAAGGACAAAAAGTATGCTAAAAGAGGGAGGAGTGGATGTATAGTTATTGCAAGAAACAAAGAGGAGTAGAATGGAGGAAGAGTTTATAAAATTGATATGGCCATTTGACGAGATGGAGTTCATGGGGGTTGATGCAGAAGGCCGTGTAGGAGGTTTGCTATGCATTTGGAATCCAGCTAGCTTTAAACTTAAGGAGTGTTGCAGTTCAAAGCATTTTATTCTGCTTTCAGGTACTGCTGGAGTGGCTTTTGAATGTACTATAATTAATATTTATGCTCCGAATGATGTAGTTAAGAGGAAGCAGTTATGGGATTTACTGGGTAGATTGAAAACACTTTATACTAAACCTTGGTGTATGATTTAATGAAATTAGGTACATTAGTGAAAGAAATGGATGTTCAAGAAGAGAGAGAGGTATGAATGATTTTAATGGGTTAATAGATTAGTTAAATTTAGTAGATTTTCCTGTGATGGGGAGAAGATTTACATGGTGTAATGCTCAAGATGGGGATAGATGGAGCAGGATAGATAGGTTTCTATTGGAAAGTAGGTGGTTAGAGGAGTACTCATTTAAGCAATAGGGACTCCCAGGAAGTATTTCGGATCATTGCCCAGTATTATTAAAGGAAGATGATAGAAATTGGGGTCCAAAACCCTTTAGGTTTCTT